CTCCCCCCTCCCCTCCAACACACAACCCTTGGCGCACTCACCCTGAAACTCCTTCCTAGCAGCGCTCACGTTGGTCACAATATTGGCGATGTGTCCAAGGACGGTGGCGAAGAGAAGCAGCGCGAAGAGAAGCTCAAAGATGACGAAAAGATACTCCGGCATAGACTTGGGCGTCGGTGGGTCTCCTATCGTGGTCAGCGTGAGCACGCTCCAGTACAGCCCGTGCAGATACTGCAACAAGGTGTCCTGCTTATCCTTGGGGAACGTCCAACTCTCCGGAACTCGCTCCATGCGGGACGCCACGATGTAATACAGACACGCGTTCCAATGAAATAAAGCGAGCAGGTAGTGAATCAGCGTGGCTGTCCGGATGATGTTGGGGTAGTTGGTGTGGCGCTCCGTGCGATCCAGAAACGACCAGAATCGGTAGAATTTGACGAGTCGGAAGCAACGCAGGATAGAGCAGAAGCCAATACTGAGATATAAGAAATCTATTGGCAGGAGGCACAGGCAATCGATATAGAACATAGTCGTATTCATGTAGTGTATTCGTAATTTTGTCGGGTCGGTCTGCAAAACACCGTCTTCGAGATAGCCAGATCGAAAATGGAATGCGATGTCGAGGATGTAAAGAAAATCGGCCGTGTAGTCGAGGGTGAACCAGATAGCGATGTTATCCGAGTTGATCTCATGGAATGCGAAGCGGTAGATTAGAACCCAGAAGTTGTAGAGGAAGGCCACACTGACCACACTTGACCACCAGTAGCAGAGGCGGCCGGACGGGTCGAAGACGAACGTCCAGTTACACCCGTCGCGTTCCGAGCTGACCGTCGTGGCGGTTTCGATTCGATTGTCGCCTTTGATGCTTTTCTTGCCGAAGTCTCGCTTGATCTCTTTACGTCGTTGGCGCCGCTGATTTCGCGTGGTGTGAGCTATGATATTCCCTTCGCTCGGACGCGGTTTTTTCATCAGCGACGCCTGCGCTAAAGAGAAGCGCTTCCGGTTGACCTTGACCTTATCCAGCCTCGAGCTGAAGAGGTCCAAAAGGCTCTGTTTGGATGTGGACTTTGCCTTTTGCTCGATGACTTTGTTGGAGTAAATGGGAGAGGACAGACTGATTTTGTCACTGGAGCTTAATCTGTGGAAAGAGATGAGATAAAATAAAATAGAAGATAAATCAGATAAAACGAGAAAAGATATGAAAAGATAAGATAGAAGAGATGTGATGAGATTTTATTGACCTCTGCGAAATGAAATTAATTTAGGATACTGCAACATGGTGAATATGTACACGCACATGCAAATGTCAATACTTACTCAGTATTTAACACACACTTATATACACAGACGCACACACACACACACA